TCATCATCAAAATCTATAATTTTCCCAACAATTTCCCCCTTTTTGATGATGACAAACAAGTGTTTAAGAGTTCCGGTCGCTGTACTGAGAACTAATTTTATAACTTTCTTTTAGTTTCTCATAATATACAGCTTGTTAACAAAAACTCTTAAGCAAATACAATTCAAATTACAATAATTCCTAAACCAAGTCTTGTCTTGAGATTTTGTGATATCTTCCGCCATTGACCGTTTTCAGCTCCAGCAGATTCTGCTTGGCGGAGTTGTTGGCGTTGCATTTGATAGATCTCTATTATCCAAAGTGGATAACCAAGATCTTGGAAGCAACACATCTCTCAAAAAAATAAAAACGAAAAATAAAGAGAAACGGAGGGAAAGGAGGCGGCGGTGGAAGAGAGGAAAGAGACAGAAGGAAAAGGTTTTGGAAAAAGAATTGATTGTGAAAAAGATAAAATAAAGTTTTTAAAGATGAAAAAAATATTTTTTAAAAAAAAATTTTGAAAAAGAGTTCAACAAAAAATTTGAGAACTCCTTGAGAGAGGGAGCAGAGGCACCACCCAAAAAAACTTGTAAGAAAATTGGGAGGGGCTGCTAAAAAAAGATTTAGAAAAAGTAAAGAAAGGAAAGGGGAGGGGAAAGAGATCAAGGTAAAAATAAAAAGAGAAAATAGAGAGAGTGTTGTTCCAGAGAAAGTGTATGGTATAATCCTGAAAATACGAGAATTACACCATAAACTTTCTCTACTGCCGAGAATTGCACCATAAACTTTCAATTACTTTCCTTCTCACTAGGCTTTTCTCCATTGCCGTCTATGAGGGTGAGAAAGAAAAATTTCTCCATTAAGGACATTTTCTTGGTGTTTTTCTCAGACAGTGAACTTGAAGACTTTCATATTTAGAGAGTTGTTTGTGATGGAAATGGATTGAGATATCTTGATTTAAATAGGAGAGGAGGAGGTTCACGGGTTCCACTAATTGGGTAGTTGGAACGGTGAGAGTAAAGGAGTTTCAACTTCCAAGAAGTTGAAAAGTAAAAGGAATCTTTTACCCGTTACCAATGAATTGAAACTGTTCCAATTTGAAAACCAGTTTCATTTGGTTTGAGAAACGTAACTGTTTTAGTTTGATTAAGCCCAAAAGAGTGGCCCAAAAAAAATAAAGCTATGTACTAAAGGGAAATTATTTCTATTGGGTTCTCAAGGCCCAAAATAAATCTATCATTTTTCATTCCCTATAGTTCTAATTTTTTTTTAGGACGAGGTAGTACCAAAGCAAATATGAAATATTTTTATTTTTAAAGGAAAAGTGGTACTATTTTTCCAAAGTCCTTTACAAAAAAAATTCTAGGGGCCAGTAATTTTTGAGCTAATTGGAAATGAATTAAGGATTAAAGCTTAGTTTAAGAAGGCAGGTTTTGTAAAGTACCTGGATCAGAGAATTCCAATTTTAGTACCAAAACTGAGATATCCGACTTCCATTGCTTAGAGCTCATCAATAATTCATAGCCAAAACCAACAAAAACTAGTTACCAATAGTAAAGTTCCCCCTGAATTACATTCCCCCTGAATGTATGCGCTTCAGAAAATCACAAGCATAATCAAGCATAATGAGAATACTTATGAACAATGTTTAAACCAATCAAGTAATGTTTAAACAGAAAGGTGTTTTCATCAAAACAAATTAGTGTTTTCACATACTTTCCCCCTGGTTTGATGAAATAAACCTTCAGTTCCTCTTGCGCTTGGAAGATCCGGCAACCTCACTGATGCCTTGCATGTTTCCACAGAGTTCTTTGATGCGCCTTAAATTCTCACGCCTTTCCTCTGCTTGTGCATCATCTGAGAAGTGGTCAGCAACTGCACCTATAAATTCTGTTCCATCTAGTCCTGAGCTGGATAGATGCTGAGCTGAGCTTTCCGGATTCCTTTGCTGTGCTCCAAGAATCAGATTGGTCATGTTCAGATGAGAAGGGATATAGGATGCTTCTCCTTCGTTGACTGCAATGGGTAGCTGGGGTATGGGAGATGGATTGTGTTGTTGCAGAATCACTTCCATCTTTCGGTTCCCAGTGTGTGCACCAATGAGTCTGAACAGCTTGTGTGCTTCCTTTTGATTGTCAATAATCACCTTCAAGTAGTCTTTGACTACTACCTGGTTCGCTGAAGCTACTGCTAGGGCTGATCTGATGTCCATTTGGAGAAGGGACATCTGCTTTTGTAGACTGATTGTGACACTGGCTATTTGTTCATTGACTTTGTGGAATTCTTTGAATTGCATTTGACTGTCAGAGGTGTATACTTCCATTGTATTACTCACAGTTTTGCTCAATAGAGAGATGATCTCTAGAGTCTTGTCTACAGATTTACTTATCTCCTTGAGATCAGCGCTATGTTTTTCTTCTGATTTCTCTAGCAGTTGTGTGTACTTAGCTTCCATTTGCTCTATCTCTTGCCTAAAGGAGGCATGTTGAGATGCTAGGGCAGATTCAATCAGCCCTTGGACCTTCTTTGTCCAGACTTCCGGTATCTCATCCGGAAGGGTAGGGGTTGAAGAGCTATGAAAATGGAAGTTGGTTACCTGATGAGATGATGAAGTCCTTTGGAAGAGTTGCAAAGGAAGAGATTCAGCATCATCTTGTTCATCTTCTTCATCAGGGACCTTCAGTGTCCTCTCAGATATTCCTACTGCTTCATCAGGGACAAAGTTTGATATGTCCCTAGAGAGGGAGTCTCTTTCTTCATGTGCATTCTGTTCTTCAAAGATGGCTGCTGGAGTTTGAGAGACCTCCACTTCTGCCATTTGAGCTTCCTTATCAGCTTCTTCAGAATGCCTTTGTACTTCAACAGCTTGCGCTATTGTTTCTGGAATAGTTGACTGTTCCAGAATTGCTGCTGACTTCTCCGGAATCTCAAGTTCTGGCTGGTTGGAGATCTCACAAGGAGTTGTGAGGATCTCTAAAACTTGAGATTGGATTAGCTGCTGAAATTCTTCTTCTTCAGTAGTTTCCTTGTTCTGCTCTTGTGGAGGAGAGGCTGTTTTCTCTTCAGTCAGAACCATTTTAGAAGCAGGTGAGGTTTCCGGAAAAATAGGGAAATCCTCAGCTGTTGCTTCTAAAACAGCTATTTCTTCAGCGGTGAGAACTACCTGTTCTTCTGGGGCTCTGGAGAAGACTGGCTTGAAGACAGCAGTGTCTTCATCATCTGCTTCACAGTCTGAGGCTGGTGTGGTGGCCAGGTACTCCATATGCAGATCTTCCGAGTCTCTTTGCCATACCCAGAAATCATTCAAAATATCTTCACAGTTATGGTTGTCTGGAATACCAAGGCACCTCTTAATTACCTTCTCATTCTTCAGCTGTTGGTCCCAATCCAACAGTTGCTCTTCTGAATTTCCAACTTTCCAAGCTCTCCAATTATAGTAGAGCTGCCAGAATTTGTTATCAGCATTATCTGTATGAGGCTGAGAGGAGGGAGTTGGAATGCTTGGGACTTGAGGAGTTTCTTCTTCTTCAAATTGTTGAGGACTCCGGTTTTGAACAGAGGTTTCCTCAGTAGGCTCCTTCTCCTTCAACTCTTCCGGATTGACATTTCCAGCTGCAGACGGAGAGTTGATTTTCCTCTTCTTCTTCCTTTGAAGTTCTCCATGGTCAGAGATTTCTTCTTCTTCTTCCAAACATGCCAAGGTAAGGTTCTGTGGTGCTTCAATGCTTGGAGAGGGGGACACCACTTGCTTTCTCTTGGCAGTCTTTGCCATATGGATGAGTAGTACGTTGTCTGAAGAGCTTTCTTCTGCAGTGGCGCTGGCACTAGCTCTGTTTTCCCCTTTTGAAGACAGATAGTATAACCAATATCTTTCTCCATATTTCTTCCCTTTAGAAGCAGCACCCATAGACTCCAAAATGTGTCCAACATAAAGACCTTGACAAAGATAATTCTGGTTGGGCTTTCCCAGATGTTTTGAGATGGAATTGAAGAAGTGTGCAGCCCAGTTTACCTTTGTTTTGGTAATGAGAGCATTGATGATGAAGGCTCTCTCCTGGGTGATGTCATCTGCATGACCTCCACTTCCACACTCGAGGCAGGCGATGACCAGTTCCAAGACCAACTTGTAGTCGTTGTTCAGGTCTGCTTTCTTCGCTTGACTAGAAGAAATTTGTCCAGAGATTCCAATGACATTCCAGTCCAAATTTTTGACTGGAAGTTTTCCAACTTCAACTCCAGAATTGGGAAGGCGAAGCTTTTCCCCCAATTTCTTCTGCGAAATCTTCACTTTTGTGCCTCCAACAGAGGATTTGATGACTGGAAACGTCCTCTGTGGGTTCTTCTTTGATTTTGCAGTCTTGATTTCTCCATTCCTGTAGAATTCAAGAACTTCTTCTTCAAATTTTAGGTGAATCTCCATTTTAAGAAATTCGGAGAGTTCTTGAGCAGCTATCATCTCCATATAGCTTTGAAAGAATGTCGATGAAGAGCACTTGGCCTCTAGCTTCTGGAAATGAATATTTGCTCCGACAACCTTCATTTTCTCAGAAATTTGGGTGAAAATTTGAGAAAGAAAGGCCTAGGGTTCTTGCGATTGCTTGAGAATGTTTCGCGAAGAAGACGATGAAGAATTATGAGCGGGCGGTTGAGATCTGAATAGTGGCGATTGGGTTTTAATTTGGGCGATTTTTGCGGCTAGTGGCGATTGGGTTTTTGACTATTCCCAAGGCCACGTGCCTAACCAACGTATTGATAGACGTGGAAAGTAGTCTGCCACGTGTACCGCACTTAGTCTATTTGAATTAGACCAATTTTGTGAAGCAAATCAGAAAACTTGGCTTCACATAGTGGTTTTGTGAAGATATCCGCCAGTTGTTCTTCAGTTGAGATATACTCAATTTTGATATCTTTCTTTTCCACATGATCTCTGATGAAGTGATGCTTGACATCAATGTGCTTAGTGCGAGAATGATGCACTGGGTTTTGAGAGATGGCTATAGCACTTTGATTGTCACAAAAGATTGTCACTTCCTTTGTCTTGACTCCATAGTCCAGTAGTTGTTGCTTTAGCCACAAAATTTGAGCGCAGCAACTACCAGCAGCAATATACTCTGCTTCTGCTGTTGATGTGGAAATGGAGTTTTGTTTCTTACTGAACCAAGAAACAAGATTTCCACCAATGAATTGACACGTACCAGATGTACTTTTCCGGTCAACTTTGCATCCGGCAAAGTCAGAATCTGAGTATCCCACTAACTCAAATGAATTGCTCTTAGCATACCACAAACCCATGTT